TAGGACATTCTGAATGTGGAGGGAGTTATTGGAACTTGGAAGCAAAAAAGGTTGCTTGGCTTTTTAATTTTCAGAGGCTGTCCTGGAGCTTACATTTAGGTGTTGACTGGCCTTTCTGAAAAGGAAATGATACTTGCCTACCTACCTCTAAGAGTGGTAGGAATTTAATGAGACTTCACCCCTGGCAGGGCTTTGTAACTCCAAAATCTGTACAAGTTGTACAGATATTGTTTATTATTCCTTCTCTTGATTGTGGCTACAAACTAACGAATCAAGAGCCAAAATATGATGGAGTAAATCTAACGTGCATTCATTCACTCATTGGTTGGACATTTATAAAGTGCTTACTAAATGTCTTAAAACAATGCAACCCCTGGATGAACACCATGCCTACTTTCAAAGAGCACCAGTCTATGGTAAAGACGAGATGAAAATAATTACAATGGTTGCACGAAACTTGCTATGGTAGAAGCATAGGGGCCTGTGGAGGCTCAGAGGAAGGACACAAAACTAACCTGGGTGAGTGGAGGAGACATCATGAAACGTTATTAGGAAATGATTCCTGAGGCGAGTAGGAGATGGACAATAGCAGTAAAAGGTCAGGGGTAGGTGGGCCAGGCAAAGGGAGCCACATGAACGATGGCATGGGATGGGGGAAGTCGGGCTGAATGAGAGGACCTTGGAAACCCCTTCAAATGGTGTGACAGACGCATTAATGAAGATGTAAATGTGTGTGTGACTTGTCTGCCCTCAGTAGACCTGCCCAGGGGCTTGCTGATAATATAGATCTCAAAAGGCCTTTTTTCCTCCAGCCTCTCTTGTGTCATTCCTGGCTTTCATCTCGAAGGGCCTGGATAATTGTTGCTGATTCCTTGCATGGCCTTAAGCAAGTCCCATCCCTTCTGAAAGGCTCCAGTGTCTCTTTCTGTGAAACATGGGGATCTGATTAGCTTGTCACTGAGGTCCCTTCTAGCACTGACCCTGGCCTGTGAGCTTCCTGCACTGCAGTGATTCACTGATTGCCTCTGACTCTTCCCCACACTCTGGGAATGGAGCCTAGGTCTCCTGACTTTCAGCTTCGACTTCTTTTCTTTCCACCACATTGCCTGTGTTACTGCATCATAAGAGTTAAAGGAGACACATCCCTGTCCTCGGAGATCTGAGTCTAGCTGAGAGGTAGGCAGGCACCAAAGCTTGAAATACCACAGTACCCCTAGTGCCTGGAACAGAGTATGCTCCATGACATTATTTATAATGTTTAGTGGCAAAATGAGAGAAATCTTGATTATAAAACCTCAAAACTGGAGATAACCTCAGAGATCTCTTTGTATGGGCCGTTCCCTGTGCCCAAAAGACTTCCCTTCAGCACCCACCTCCTGTGGCCAGCAGCAGGGCTAAGACCTGATACTAGACAGGAGAGCTTCTCTCCTTGTGGGTCAGACTTCATGGTCTGAATCAGGCATCCCCAAACTTTTTACACAGGGGGCCAGTTCACTGTCCCTCAGACCGTTGGAGGGCCGCCACATACTGTGCTCCTCTCACTGACCACCAACAAAAGAAGTGCCCCTTCTTGAAGTGCAGCGGGGGGCCAGATAAATAGCCTCAGGGGGCCGCATGTGGCCCATGGGCCGTAGTTTGGGGACGCCTGGTCTAAATCCTCCAGACTGTACCCTTTTCCCACTCCATGAAGCCCAACTGCAAAGGCTGATTTCTTGTTAAAAGACCGTCTTAGTTTGGTTTTCTAGGAGCAGCACATGATACCAGGTGCCAATGGTTTATTTGGGAGGAGATCCCAGGAGACACCACCAAAGAAATGGGGAAATGAGACAGGGAAGGGAAGAGAGCTATGCAGTGTGTATTAGAGGACATATTAATGCAGTGGGGAGCTCAGGCTCAATCCCCCTGAGAACCTCTGCAAGATATTTTAGAGCAAGGTTCTAAGTCATCCGACTTCAGGGCAAGGGACTGACAGTCCTTATTCTCAAACTCTTTCTTAACTGGCTCAGGGCTGCTCCCAGGTGTGTTAACTCCCACCACTTCTAGCTTGTTGTATGCAGGGGACCCAAAATTTTTCTATAGTCAGAGAAAGCCCTCAGCAGAGAGGTGAAGGGGCTTTCAGCAGGAAGTCACAGCAAACAGAACTGCTGAGACCTGGGGGGTGTGGGCAAGGACACTGATGGCCTCTGCCCCGGTGGACCAGTGCCCATTCTCTTCAGTCCCTGGTCAGTAACCTTCACAGCTCTGCCTTAGAGGCCAGAGGCTAAATACAGACAGGATTTATAAGGGGAATTTAAATATGTAGGGTTGATATTTGCAAATGAATAAATCGTATCCCTATTTTATGGGAATCTGTTGTGCACGTTTGTACCTTAACACTTGCACATGCTGCCTCACTACCTTGTATGACTTTTTAAAGAAAACTCCCATTCATTCATCCTTCAAAGTGTAGCTCCATTATTCATTTTTATGTTATGCCCTTTCCTGATTGCCCTGGTAGAACTCATTCCTCCCTGCTCCTTTTTCTCTGACAGCATTTTGTGCCCGATCTAAAATAACACGGCTATGCAGTGGCATGCCTCCTTTTGTGTTCATCTTGCCTGCTACTAATAGTAGTAAGAATGTTGTGGGGCATTCTTTAGTTCAGCTAAGAGCCAGGTCCTTATCATGTGGTCACGAAAAATTAGGCTCACAGACAATTTGAAGGGTGAGAATAATGGGATTTATTGGACAAAAAGGAAAAAAGGGGGAACGTGGACTCTTTGCAAGGTCACAGTTCCTGCTAGTGAGGCTTCCTGCCTCACGGACTGAATTCCAGTTTCCACCCAGGAAGAGGCGGGGCCATGCTCCTCCCTGATGCAAATCGCACGAACTTCTGTGGCTTCATCCCAGTGTGCGTTCCTCTCAGTGCACAGGCCGGCTGGAGTTTTGCCAGAGAGCCCTTCCCACCTGGCTGTCTCAATAATAGCTAACATTTGTTAAGTACTTTAGTTATATGGCAGGCATTATTTTAAATACTTTATTTGAATTAATTAACTTAATCCTCTCATCAACCCAGTGAAGTAGCTGCCATTACTGCATCCATTTTGCGGATGAGGAAATATAGAGAAGTTAAGCAACTTTTCCAATAGCATGCCATTAGGAAATGACAGAGAGAGGATTTGGTTCCAGAAGGTCAGTCTTCCAAGCCATACAGTGTTCTTAACCACAACACATAATAACCTCTCTTTAGCTGTAGTACAGAAGAGGGCACAAGGACGAAACCCTGGGACATAGTTCTAGCAGTTTTCATAGAATTTCATGCCAAGCTGGAAAACACCATCTGTGGAGAATCTTAAATAGAGAGAACAATACTTGCATTTTGGAAAAATCATTCTTGCTATAGTGCATAGGATGAATTGCAAGAAGAGAGAGACTGGGAAGAGAGATAAGAGTCAGGGGGCTGTAGAAATGATCCAGGTAAGAGATGAAGTCCCAAGTTGAGCATGGAATCTCCTTCCTGAGCTGTCACCTGCTTACCTCCCAGTCACTGCACCACCCATTACTTAACATGCAGCCCTGCCTTTCGTGGATGTGCAGGTGGTGCCCTGCACAAATACACCTGGCCAGTAGGGGCATGTGGGAGCTGAAGCGATCCTGGGCTCTGGCTGCCACCTGTCACCTATAGTAAGGATCTGTATCTGCCAAGAACAAAGGCATCTTTGGCTCACTTTCACAATGAAGTGTAAGAGCTAGCAGTAGTCCTGCCCACGTGTATCTTCCACTCCAGATATTCAAAACTATTTTTCTTCCTAGTTATGTCATGATTTTTCCCACCTCTGTGTTTTCAATTTTGGTTTCCTCTGTTAAGGGTACCCTTTCACTCATTCATTTCATTCATGTATTCTTTCACTTATTCATATAACACAGAATTTTGTACCCGCCATATGCCAGGTACCTACCTAGGTGAAGGAGAATCAGTGGGGAGCTCACAATCTAGGGGAACAGATGCCTATTAATGAAACAATCATACAAATATAGTAGTATACACTGACATATGTTTTGAGGGCAAAGTTGAGAGACTGTATCTTGGGTGTTAAGGGCTCATTTTTGGGATGTAGGTGTCTGTGCTAACATCATTACCGGAACTACGTGGCTTTACTTAGGATGTGACCTTTGAACTGAGATGTGAAGAACAAGTAGGAATTAATCAGGCAAAATGGTAGGGAAAGGGAGTGGCTGCCCTTCTGCCGTCCGACTGTATTCAACAGCACGTCTTGTCTTTAGGTCGGGTGAGATAGGTCCAGATTTCAGTAGAGGCTCAGCAGAATAGCAAGACAATAAAGGAAGAGGAGGGCCAAAATCGGAGGAATGGAGAGACATCTTTCAATTCTATAAGGAGGGAGGGAACCAAGAGCCAGGCAGAAGGCAGGAAGCTGGAGACTGAGGAAGAGACCTCTGAGAAATTCTGGGAGCAGGCTCCTCAGGAACTTCTAAAAATAAGATATTCAGTATCCAATTTTAGATTGTGCCTCTGTGGTTTAAAATTCCTCTCCCCAAATGTTCAATAAAATATGTAACACCCAAATACTAGTGTGAAAGGTTTTGGAAGAAATCAGGGGAAAACTGAGCTCTCAGTAAGGATCAACCGGGAACAATGGAGAGGGCAGAGCCAGTGAAGGTGGGAAGCAAGTGAGGTCAAAAGGTAAATGGAAACAAAAATTTGGAGGCAGAAGTGACAGAAGGTATTCATAGCATCTGCTGTGTCTACACCTCAAAGAAATAGAATTGTATTTGTGTCCAGTTGTAGTTACTGTTCAGTGTAAATTCATGAGAGTAGGGGCAGCCTAGACCGGGAGATAGGAGAAGGAAGACACAGCCCAGCGGGCAGGGACTGTGACCTCACTCTAGGTATCTGAGACTCAGTTATTTAAACTCCAAGTCGAGGAGACTCAGCCCTACCCGCTAACATCCCAAGTCATTACCCAGCTAGCTTCAGCACGAAGCCTACCAGGACTACGGAGAACTTATGAATTCAATAAACATTTATTGAACAGCTGTTTTTTTCTGGGTACAAAGTTACTTGGGACATGGCCCTTGGTCCCTGCCCCCTGGAGTCTTCCATCTTGGTATGATCAGTGCTGTGACAGAGGCAGGTCCAGGGCTGTGGGAGCAGGAGTGGGACCTTGACCCAGGTTTGGACACTGGGGCAGCTTCCTGGAGAAGGGACACTTAACTGGAGTCACAGTGTTTTCCAGGGTATGCGGATACATGGCAAGCAAAGGGAGAAGGACAGGGTGGCACAGGTGCAGTGGTGCCCAGGCTGTTTGTGCTGCACCCTGTGTGGCTTATCCTTAAATACAGAGTGGCATGCCTTGATTCCTCATGATTTTAACAAGTCATATCTCTCCAACTGTTTCTCAAGGCCATAGAGACTTTGTGCATATTTAGATTAGAGAGTAGGAAGAGGCAGAGTTTAAATAGTGCTTAAATAGTCCCTTGTCCAAGAGCTTTCTGCACAAAATGCCCTCTGTCACCATGCCTAAATTCTACCCTTGGCTCCCCACTCCTTCAGGTCTGACAGCCGCCACTGTGGAGCCACCAATGGAAATATAAGACCCTCCTGGGTAGATTCATGCTACAAATAGATTATTGGTGAGAAGAGAAAGAGCAGGAGGGGAACCAGGAGGGGAAAGAGGAGGGAGGATAAGGGGAGCAAAGGTGCACTTGGATTTTTGCAAATTTCTTGCTGCTCCTTTTCTTGTATCCTCCACTTTTCTAAACTCCAGACACACATTCAGTAAAGGCTGCTGAATACACTCAAGAAGAGGTGGAAACAATGTGTTTGAGGTAGGTCTGTAAGGCAATGTATTGGAAAGAGTGGGGAAACCCCGTCTCCTGCTGGGTGGCCCTGAGCAAACCCAGGGCTCTCTCTGGGCTTCTGTTTCTCCACTTGTCAAGTGTGCAGGTTGGGTTGGATTCTTCTCAGGGGATCTTGCAGTCTTGACTTCTGTGATCTCCAGTTTAGGAGTAGGAGGAGAGCAAAGTAGGAGGAGAGCCTGTTTCTGTGGCTGACAGGCTTGGGCTTTGTTTAATCTTTGTACACTGAAGCCAGGTCTGTGGAATCATGCAAAATAGCCCCAGAGGAAGATGTTGATGCCCAGCAAAAGGACAGCGTTGATGTTGCAGACATGTCTCCAGAGTGGCTCCTCCTCGATGCTTGTCAGCTTCTGTTCTAGTGCAGCCTTTTCTGCTGGGCTCAGGGCCTGCTCCGGTGCCCCGGAGAGCCCACAGAACCAGCCCCAGAACAACTTTCCCCAGGACCTGCATGGGGCTGGAGGGACAAAGCCAGAAAGAAAGAAGAGCAGGAGGGGGAAGGCAAAGAAGGTTGGAGAAAGGAAAGTGACAAGAGAGGAGGGGAGGGAGAGAGATGGTGAGAAACTGAAAGAAGATATGGGGCAGTGCACAGAAAACGGGGAGGGGTGAAGCCACTGACTTGGTACTTTCTGCAAACCACAGACTGGGTGCTGAGCTGGTACTCTAGATTAAGTTCTGACCTTGGCCACAGCACCCAAACAGTCATGTAGTAGAAGCGCTATTTTGTTGGAGAGGGGATGGTATATTAAGGCGGCGGGATAATGCAATTCATCTCAATTCACAGCACAAGTCCTGAATAAGGGCAGAAGGAAGGAGCATTATCTCACCCAGGAAGAAGGAAGCGTTTGAGCCAGAGATACTGCTACAGCCACAACTGCGAAGAGCACTGGGCTGCAAGCCAGAAACCTGGTTCCAGGGCCGGCTCTGCCATTGCTGACTGTGAGGCCATATGCAAATCACTCAGCTTCTCTAAGCTGCAGGTTCTTTCTGTCTCAGATGTATCAATGACATATGCCCCATTCTTCTCGAGGTTGTTCTGACTACCAAATGAGGATAGAAATTGGACAGCACTTTAAAAAGTCACCAGTGCTGGAGCAGTGGGAGAGGCTCTGGTGCATATGATATTCTAAATGTGCATGAGACCAAACCCATGGAGACACGGCTTCCTTGGGGTGAGAAAGGGGCCTGCTCTGAGGTTAAAAGGTAGCACAATTCACTAAAAACGAAATTCAAAAGAAGAATAAGGTAAATATTTTTAAGGGTTTTTTCTAAAAAAAAAACACAGCAGATATTATATTAAAAATAAAATTAATACAAAAATCATTTCATTGAGATTGAAACAAATGCACTGGGAATGAATGCTTGATTATTTTAATGGGTTTAGAACGTGGTAGTTGGTGAGTTCAATAAAACCACAGAGTGTCAGAGATGCAAGAACCTTGGATGCCATCTGGTCTGGCATCCAAGGGTCTTGCATCTTCATCTGGTCTCCCCTGATTGCACAGGGGAGAAAAAAGTCTCAGGAAAGTAAAGAGACTTGTTTAAGGTCACATAGCAACAGAACTGCACTAACGATCATATGAATTCAGCATTTCATTTGTACTAGGCTTTATCATTTTCCCAGCTGGTCCAAACATTCTCTTTTGATTTCCTTGGCAACCTTCTGAGACAGAGGATACACAGAGCTTCATATGCAAATTCATATGCCCAGAGAGTCTCACTAAAGGAGTTACTAAGTGGTGTGCCGTCACTCAATAAATTTATGTATAAAACCTGGGATGTACATATTCCTTTCAGATCTACACTGGTGTCCTTTAAATATATATACACACACATATATATATAATTTATATATATATATATATATATATATATATATATATATATATATATTTGAGACAGAGTCTACTCTGTTGCCCAGGCTGGAGTTCAGTGGCACGTTCATGGCTCACTGTAGCCTCAACCACCTGTGCTCAAGCAATTCTCCCATCTCAGCCTCCTGAGTAGCTATGACCACAGGCATGTACCACCAGGCCCTGGTCATTTTCTTATTTGTTGTAGAGACTGGATTTTGCCATGTTGCTCAGGCTGATTTTGACTCCTGAGCTCAAGCAATCCTCCTGCCTCGGCCTCCCAAAGTGCTGGGATAACACGTATGAACCACTATGCCCGCCTCCTTTAAGTATTTTTAACTTTCCTTTTCAGGACTCAACGTTATACAGCCTGGCCCATGCCTTCCTGGAGTCCTTTTGGGAGGGGGAGCCTCTTCCCTGCTTGTTTCTCTGGGCAGAGAAGTAGCTTTAGTGTATGACAGCACCAGTCTTTCCCTGCCTTCCTCATGGTGGTGGTCTGTGAAGGGGAGTGGGTTTCTCTCCTTGCACTTCTCTGCTGACTTGGTGCCTCCTTTTTCTCTCTTGGGAGTAAGTCGTCCACAGGGAGCAGGCATTCCTCTCGGCTTCTCAAGGGACAACTCTGTCCCTTGGCATGAGGACCAGCCAGGTAGTAGGTCTATTTGTGTAACTCTGCATAAGTCTGTCTAGATCTGGGGTTCAGCTGTACTTCAGAAAGTACAGGCTGTCTCCTTCCTCTTTCTCTTTGGGAGTTTCCTTTGCAGCTTTTCCTCTTCTTCCTTCCTCCTTCTCTTGGCAGCTGCTTCACCTCCAAAGAGCTCATGCTCTCGGATTGCTTTCTTCGATAACAAGTTTTACAGGGGCCAGGACCCAGTCTTTGCAATGATGATGGGAGAGTAGTTTTGAGAACTCAACATCTGGTGCCTAGGCCACAAAGCTTGAAAAAAACGAGTTATATCTTGCAAAGCAAATACACACACACACACACACACACACACACACACACACACACACACACACACTTGCAAAGCAAATGTATATGTATGAATTAACTGGGGCAACTGATAAAATTAGGGAGGGTGATGATGATCTTCCGTAGCATCTCCTGCAGTGAGCCTATGTGGTTTTAACCATGAAAGTTAGGAAGAAACTATATCCATCATTATGGATAGCTTTTTATAGTTGATTATTGGCTTTTAACTGCTGTAGCTTGGGAAGAAGCTCTGAGCCTTAGACCTTGGTGGGATTCTGGGGCTTATGATGTCATTAACCCTAGGAAGTGGCTATTTCTTTAGAATTAAGGCCTTAAGCAAAGGTGAAGGGCCTCAAGAAAAGTGGGAGCCTTCTCAGGTCTGGAGGAAAGCATAGGGCCCCTAAAACTTGGCAAAGGCATGAGAACTGTGTGCCATGGCATTGCCAACAACGCTGGTGCAGCAAGCGATGCTTTGCTAATCCTGTCAATGCTCTTAGCTCACTAGAGTTATTCAGAGTTTGACACACAAGAGGCTGGTATAAAACTAGAGCTATGCCCAATCCAGCAAGAGAAAGCAGCTGCTGAGGGAACCCTAACTCCATCCAGGCACTGAGACCTCTTAATAATTTTATTGTTTTATCACATGAGGATGCATATTATTTCTCTACCTGGACATTATAAACAATGACATAACATTGCATTTAAAAGCCCAATATTATTATGTTATTGACATTTTTATCCATTTTAGTGTAAACTCCACATCTTTGCACTACCTGTTTGCCTCCAATAGATTCTCACCTCCTTGGGGACAGAGATCACGTCTTATTCATCTTTGTATTGAGACCTTCTTTCACTGAGGCAGAAAATACATTTAAAACTTAAATTTGTTTGAATTTTTAATTCACGAGGCCAAGAGATTGATTTTGGACTTTAACTTGCAACTTCATTTAACTTTTTGGATTTTATTTATTCATTTTCCTGGGACGCTTCTTTTTCTTTTGCTTTTATTTTAGGTTTAGGGATACATGTGCAGGTTTGTTATATAGGCAAATTGCATGTCGTTGGGATTTGGCATATAGATTATTTTGTCACCCAGGGAGAACTTTATAGAGTTTAACATTTTCCTTGGGAATTTTATAATTGAAAAAGTCTTTTCATTCTATCATTAGAATATTTTGATATTGTTATTTCATTTCACTCTGGGAACGTTATAGCTGCATTGGATTTAACACAAGTACCTCAAATCATGTCTTAAAATATTTTTCAACTTTAGATATTGTGTGGCCTTAGAGTAGATTTGACTGAAACACAATGAAACTGATTTAACTGACATACTATTCTAACACATTCTAACACATGAACCTCCAGGGGCACACTTCATGTGGCCCATCAGCAGTTCAAGGAGATGCCCAGAGGTGGAGGGGGGTGTTTTGGAGGAACATCATGAAAACAGAGACAACTCTGTGGAGACGTGGCTGCTCTCATCCCACAAGGGACAACCACACTTCTGTATGACTATAGGCAGACTTGTTGGGTCCAGGGAGAAATCAATAAATAATAAGGAAATGAGGTGGTGGGGACACGGATGAGGGGGTTTCTTCGTCATGCCTCAGGTTTCCTCCCATGTAGAAGGAACACTGTGGGTGCAACGTTCTTTGATTTTTTCCCCTTGTACTCATTCAACCTAGCGGAGGTGAAGGGACTTCTGTGTTGGTATGTTTGGAAAGGATAAAGAGGACATGCTTGGCTCAGCCCTGCCCTTCTTTACACAGAGGACAGGACTGAGCCAAGCATGCCCTCCTTATTCTGTAACCCTGATCAGATCTGAAGTGACTGGATGGGTACCTCTGTCGAATAGGGAGGTTCAGTGTTAGGAAGTACATTTCTCCGTAGATAAAAACTAGCTCTTTCCACTTACACTCGATCAGCAATGAGGGCACTATTTTGGCTCCTATCTGCCTGACTCAGTTGTCTTATTTTTCAAATAGATCAATAGGCTTGTGGGAAGGGAGTTAGGGTGATATTTACTAGGCTCCCTCAGAGACCCCATCCCAAAGACCGCCCATCACATGGGTCTGTCGCCCCTGCTCCTCTGTGATGAGTATCCCCCAGCCTGCTGCAGCCTACCTTCAGGCTGCTCCTGGCCTGAGCTGGAGTTCTCCAGCACTCCCGCAGGGCACTCCCCAGCTGGCCTCTCGGATATCTCCGGCGTGCTCTTGTGGGCCTCCTTCTCCAGCTCAGAGAGGGGGCAGTTCCGAGTCCACCATGTCAGGCGTTTGAGCTGAAGGGAAGAAAGACATTGGAGTCAGTTTCCTTGGAGAGAAGCTAGGCTGTAGAAAAATAGGGCCCCATTTAAGGAAGGGCATCTGAGCAACAGCAGAGAGTACAATGAACAAGGCCAGGGCTGGGAGACAGGAGGCCTGGATCTTAGCCCTGACTTCTTTCTTCAAATATGAACACTCCCTGCTCCACACCAGGTGCTCTACACCAGGCTTGTGCCACGTACTGGAATACAGACCTGAAGCACACCTGGGCCCTGTTCTCACGGATTTTACAGATGGAGGGAAACAAGGCCGTACAGGGAGGCAGGCGCTTGAGAATAAGGCTGCACAGGTCAGGCTGAGGAGTTGTAGCTTAAAGAACAAAAACCCTGTAGGCAAATGGAGAGTCACTGCAGACTTTAAGCAAAACGTAGAGACTGTAAGTGCTGGAAAATTCAAAGATTTCTTGGAGTGAATTGAAAGGGGCTCAGCCTAGAGGATGTTGCAACAGTGAAGAAAAAATAATGGGTATAAGGCTGGCTGCCTCGCCGGGAGCTCGGACATGCCCATTGCCCTCCCGGCTTGAAAATTTACATTATCAGAATATGTCAATCATCTAGCTCCGCCTTGGAAATCCCCTCTGCACTCGGCACCTAACCCCACCCTTGGAAATCCCCTCTGCACTCAGCACTTAGCCTGCTCACTGGAAGTCCCACCTACCTACCAATAGCAGCTCACCCCTTCCACATCCTGTTTCTCCAAATCCAATCCAAGGCCTTCACTCCCTATAAAACCGCACTCCTGAGCGGAATCCGGTGCAACTTCGCTAGCCCCTCTCCGCAGGTCACAGACCATCACCCGGGAGCTGCATAAATTGGCATCTAATTTTCTGGTGCTGGCTTCCTTTTCCTCGTTTTTAACTCAGCGGTAAACCTTCAGAGACTAAACTTTACAATGGGCACCTGAGGAACTGGGTAAAGAAGGTGAAATCAGGACAGTGTGACTGGCTGAATGAGCCAGGTGAGGGACAGGGGAGAGGCTAACAAGGCTCTGGGGCCCCTGCCTTGGGTGACCAGACGTATTGTGGTGCCTAGTCCAGGAATAGAGGACACAGGACAAGGAGTGGGTATTAGTGCTGGTGAGAGAAGGAAGAGAGAGAAAGGGCAAGGGGAGAGAGAGACAGAGGAGAGAGAACATGTTCAATCAAATATGATGATGTGCTCCAGGAGTCTGCAGGCCCTCCAAGTGGAGTTGTCCGGGTGAGGAGAAGTAAACCTTACTTCCTTTGAGGGCCCTTGTGGTGTTCTCTCTTCTCTTTTATGGTGGCTCAGAAAACTAAATCACAGCAGTTCTTTGTCTCCTATCAGTGGTGTTGGACTCACCACTGCCTGAGCTCTGAGGCAGCTTTCTGTACATGTTGAGCTGGGTATCCCCTATCCCGCTCCTAGTTTCTTTCTTCCGCTGTGCTGGGCCCAAGCACACATCTCTCTGGGATCATGAGAGCCTGGGAAGCTTCCTTGCTTGTATTTCTTAACAAACCTTAATAATACTTTTTCTTTGTGTCACCGGTAGCATATGGACTGTGTCTCTTTACGTCACCAGGAAAGAGTTAGATTTTGGGGTTTGAGTCTTGGGAAAGGGGTTTTGGCTGCAGATAGATAATTGAGTGTCACCTTTATATAGAAAGTTGTTGAATTTATAGCCCACGAGTATTGTTGGCTGAGACAGGTTATAGGCCATAGATGGGTTCCTAAGGAACACCGATATTTCAGGGGCAGCAGAGAAGCCTGTGAAGAAGTCAAAAGAGTGATTGGAAGGGTAAGCAAAACAAACAAACAAAAGAAAACAAAACCGAGGGGAGAAATATTTCATGTAAGCAAACAGAAGAGAGGTCTTTGGGGTGCAGGACGTGGTCAGTAGTGTCCAGTTCTCTTGTGAATTCACTTAAGGTAAAGACAGGAACATGACCACTGATTTTAGCAACGGGGTGTTATCAGTGACTTCCGTGACAGCGATGTCAGCGGAACGTTGGGGACAACAGCCAGACAGCAGCGGGCTAAGAAGCAGACAAGAGGTGGGAAGTGGAGGCTGGGAAAGGAAACCATTCTTTGCAAAAGTCTGCTGTTGAAGGGAGGAGAGGGAGGCAGCAGGAACTAGAGGACAACAGGATTCAGAGAAGGATTTTACATTGGGAAAGACTTTGGAATGAAGGATGAGGACGCAGGCAATGGAGAAGAGGTTGAGGATGCAGCAGGAGGAGGAGCCCGTTTCTGGTGTGAGCCACTGGAGGTGTCAGCCTGGGAAGGCCCCGCTTATTTTGTAGAAATCAATGAAACCCATAAAGTCATCTTGCAAACTCTAAAGCACCGTCTGTCTAAAGAGTATTGTCCATGATGTCCACTCAGTGTTTCAGGGATTGACTTCCAGCATCAACTCTGTTATGGGCTGAATTGTGTCCTCCCAAAATTTCTGTGTCGAAGTCCTAACTGCCAGTACCTCAGGATGTGACTGTATTTGGAGATGGGGTCTTGAAAGACAATTAAGGTTAAATGAGGTCATCGGGATGGGCCCTAATCCATTATGACTTAAAAAGGAGCTTCAGTCACAGGCAGGCACAAGGGGAAGACCGTGTAAAGAAGAGGAGAATACAGGCTTTGACAAGCCACAGGGAGAGGCCTCAGAGAAAACCAGCACCGTAGACACCTTGATCTCAGACTGCTCGCTTCTGGAACTGTGAAACCACAAATTTCTGTTGCTGAAGTCACCCAATCTGTGGTCTTTTATTTCAGCAGCCCTAGCTCTAGGCTGTAAGGAAGAAAGGCCTCAGAAGACTGAGCATCAGTGCTCAAGGGCCGTTTCTTGTGAGAGGTGAGGATTTCAATGTGAGTTCTTTGTGTAGTAAGCTCTCTGTTTCTTTTCTCATATATTTGTTTCTGGGCCACTCAGAAATTCTCTATTCATTCTTCAAGGTCTAATTCAAAGTGTCCTCGTCTGTGTGCCCTCCCTGGGACCCCAGGAAGTGACTGCCTCTCCCTCTGTGCTCGGCCTCTCCCACTGAGCTTGGTCCTTCTGCACTTTCCCTTTGTATAGTGACAGCTTGTCAGCATCTGTTTCCCCTGAGGATAGTCTCTGGCAGGGACCCTTCATCTTTGTGAGCCCAGCACAGTGCCTAGCACATAGTAAGTACTCACTGAGTAATTTTTCAGTTGAATGAATTACTTTTCATTGGGGAAAGCCCAAGGAACTTTCCTTCCCAAGGACATCTGTGTGGCCACAAGGGAGACCATAACCCAACAGAGTAAAACTCAGTGGCGGAATTCCAGGCTATGGGAGAAGAAAGAGCATTTCTGGAGGGCCTCAGTATGAGCAAAACACTTGCCTGTTCCTCAGGGATGGGAGTTGTCCAGAGGCTGACAATGATGATGACGATGGCAGTGAGCCCGCAGAGGAGGAGTGCAAAGTACAGGTAGTGGAAGTCCTTCAGCACTGCTGGCCGCGGGTCCGCCTCCCCACAGGCTGGCGCTGGGTATGAGAACTCCAGGATCATGCGCAGAAGCCCCACTCCCAGGCCAAACAGGAGGCCCCAGAAGGCTCCCTGTGAGAGATGGCAGCATGGGCTGGGGTGAGATCCAGGTGGCAGACCCTAGGAAGGTAGAACTACTCTGCCCTCAACTCTCTCTCCCACTGGTTTATTGCCATGTTGGGCAAATCCGTCTCCTAATGGGAAAAAGAGCTCCCCATTAATACTGAGACTTTGTCTTGACTTAAAGGCACAGTGGCATAGGGGTTCTAGAGTCAGACAGACTAAGATTTGAATCCTGGCTCCATTGTGAAGTGACTGAGCCAATGACTCGGCCTTGCTGACTCAGAGGTTTCTCACTGGGGACAGTAACTAAAAAATCCGTAAAATTAAATCAGTACTAAGTTAATTATTAGATGGTAAATATTCAACTACGATGGAATAAGCTTTTGTAATAATCAGGGACTACCAGGATCTCCTTCCCAACCTTCAGTTACGATAAATCAGAAATCAGAATAGAGACTTTCCTTCTGTTGTTGTTTTTAAGAAAAGCTCTGGAACCTCTCATGTCTTTCTTCTTTGTAGTTCCATTTGGCTCTAACATGTACCTGTTCCCAGCAAGTAAGAGTACGGGTGATACTGATCCTGATTTCAAAAACTTTATAATGAGCAGAAGCACCCGGAGTTCAGCCAGGTCAGTGAGATGAGGCCTCTGCAGACAGTAGACACTTAACTTAGGTGCACCACCAAGGGAGGGGTTTCTATGGCCTCATTTTCAATGACCTTGAGCTCTCATGTTGTTTTTGTGTGGTGGAGTCCATGACATCCCTCTACTTCCCAAGGTACAGCCAGCCTGCATCTTCTAGGCTATCCTGGGGAGCAACCAAGTCTCTGGTCCTGGTAACCCGAGGTTCCTCCCAGATTCTGTCAGGTTTCAGTGTGTTACATGAATGATGCATGTGCAGGAACCCTTGCAAGGTCACACTTTGTCATCATCATTGTCATTGCTGTTATTTTGCTTACACATAAGACCTTATAGTGTTAGAGATGGAACAGGACCTGGAGATATTACAGTCTGTCTTGCACGCTCACTCACACTGTTCCTTGTGTCTGGATCATTCTTCCCCCTCCCATTAATCCTTCAGGTCTCAGCGCAGATGTGACTTCATCTGGGAAGTCTTCCTCGACCCCTCCTGGGAACCCCATAGGTTAGGTGTTTGTGCTCTTTAGTCTCCCACCAGTCAGCATGCTTCATTATTATTGCTTATTCAGTCATCTCTCTGCTGACCCAGCGATGGCATATCTATGTGAATCTTATAAACCATTGCATCCCTGGAGCTGCCATCATAAGACTAGTAAATGTTTTTTGAATGAATGGATGAATCTAGGTCGGATGCTGTGGTCAGGAAAATGAAAGCCTAGAGAGGAAGTGGGTTTTCCCAAGGTCACAGAGACATTCCCAAGGTGATTGAGAGACCAGATCTCCAGCCCCTCTTCTGTATGGGAGAGACAGGTGCACTGCACTCACGGGCTCTGTTACCCTCTTGCAGAAGATGGCCAGCAGGAAGAGCGCGGTGATGGGCGGGGCCAGGTAACTGGTGACAGCCTGGATGTAGTCGAAGAGCTGCCCACTGTTGGAGGTTTGGATGATGGGGATCCAGAGGATGCTGATGACAACCAGGAACACCACAAACACTCTGCGACAGAGAGCACAGGGCACTGAGGCACGCTCAGGTGGGCATGGTGGGGTGTGGGGTGAAGGTGATGCGAAGGAACCAGGAAGGGAGAAGGTAGGGGAATGCACGATCACTGGATCAGAGAAAGTTGGCAGCCAGAATCTCAAACACCAAGCAGCAGAAACTTCGACTTAAAATCTCAGAATCTGAAAATTTTGGAATTGAAGAAACTCATAATTCTAAAGCTTCCATGACATTTATATATTAGACACCTTCAAGGTCATGTCACCCACCTGTTGCTGTTTACGGAGGAATTCATACCTCCCACCCCACCCCCTACCCCAGTAAAAAAGGCCTCTGGTCTCTTCTTGGAATGTCTTTTCTCCCCTCTTCCATCCCAGCCTTGTGTAGGGCAGCTCTTTCCCAGGATGACTGCAGCCTCCAGGGAAGAGTCCCTCCTCCAGGCACTGATGCTCTCTCCCTTACTGTGGCATTGATCTTGGGAAAGAATCCCTCTTATTCACCTGACTCCTTCTTAACCAATGGTGGCTCAGACCTAAGTCTCCAAAGCATTCTGCACTTATGATTTTGCAGGTGTGTGAAGTTCATGAAAAACTTTTCTTCAGTGTGTTGGATGCAATAACATGTATGGCCAGTAGATAGAGCCCAAATTCCACTGATTGAAGAAATGGTAGCAAAACCAGTTCATGTGCGCAGAAATGGAATGCTTTCGTTGACGTGTCACTGCGTATGTGTCTTCTCCTCTCCTTTTCCTCCCATTTTGCCTCTCTCAGATTCCACTAGAGCATCAGCTGCCCAAGTAGCGTCCCTGCTGCTTATCTCCCTCGTCTTTGCCCAATCTGTCCTGTACTCAGATCCTGCAGTGATCAATACCCGTGTCTAGGGCTGGGGGAGCACAGTTGAGCAGGCAATCGGAATCCATTAGGCAGCCTTGGGCAGAAGGCATCCTGGTGGAAAGAACAGTGAGTGCAAAGGCAGGGAGGCATGAAAGAGCAAGATTCCTAAACTCAAGTACCTATCCACAAAGTGGGAGAACTTTAGTCCAGAAACCTAAGTTAGGGACCCTTCAACTATGAAGCAAAGATTTGAAAAAGGGCCCCTTCATCTTATATAAACTACAAATCTCCAGCCTATGAAAAAAAAAATTAGCTGCTACATTATGCTTTAGAAGCATACAACTATTACCCACAAGATAAAGTTCAAATTCCTTAGCTTGGCGTCCAAGGCTCTGTGTCATTTGGAGACGGCCCTCCTAAGAAAATCTCTATTGACACAAATGCCTTGCTTTGTTACCTATGTTTCCACCTATCTCAATAAACTGTAAGCACCCTGAGGGCAGGGCCATATAATCCAACTGTGGGCCCCCTGCATGTGGGATGTGATGCATAGTAGATGGGTAGAGTCAGTCTTGTGGATTAAATTAATAGCATTTCTTTTAACCAGGTGTAACTTCCAGAGTTGGTTGGGAATAGCTTGGGTGAGCTGCTTGCTAACTTTCCATGCATTTATACAGTTTATCTTTCATTCCCGAAGAGCTTTTTCATCTCTCAATAATCCTGTTGATCAATTCCAAGATAAAGTTACCAGGGAAGAGGTGTTTTTTCCTATTATTCTGAAAAAAGGAGTGGTCCAGGGTTGGGGAAGGACTTACCTGAAATCATGTGGAGAGCTGGAACTTGAACCCAGTGCTCTGACTGCCAGTCCAGGGCAGGGTCTGACCCAGCCAGCATCTGCTCAGGGTAACCCAGGGCAGGGGAGAGGGGAGAGGACACTCCGGAAGGAGGGAAGGAGGGTCCAGCTCACCTGCCCACCACCATCAGCTCCTGCTCTGTTGCCTTCCTGCGGAAGCGCTGCCACACATCAATGGCGAACAGGGTGCTGCTGCTGTTGAAGATGGAGGTGAGTGAGCTCATGAGGGCGGCCATGATCACGGCAATCATCAGGCCCCGCAGACCTGGGGAGAGACGAGGCTCATGGGAATGGAGGGCCTGTTAAGGCCAGCTCTACCAGGACCACAGAGGCTGCTGTAGTGTCCTGCAGAGTCAGGAGCTGGGGGTGGGGAGGAGGAAGGGAAGGTGTTGGATGAGGTGTCCATCCAGCACAGATAAGAAATCCGGCCAGGCACGGTGGTTCAAGCCTGTAATCCCAGCACTTTGGGAGGCCGAGGCGGGTGGATCACGAGGTCGAGAGATCGAGACCATCCTGGTCAACATGGTGAAACCCCGTCTTTACTAAAAATACAAAAAATTAGCTGGGCGTGGTGGCATGTGCCTGTAATCCCAGCTACTCAGGAGGCTGAGGCAGGAGAATTGCTTGAACCCAGGAGGCGGAGGTTGCGGTGAGCCGAGATCGCGCCATTGCACTCCAGCCTGGGTAACAAGAGTGCTCCGTCTCAAAAAAAAAAAAAAAAAGAAAAAAAGAAAAGAATAGAAAAAAGAAATCCTAGATCACAGAACTGGAGGCTGGGTTCTCTCCATCTCTGATGCCCAACCCCCTGCCCTGAGCCTCAGTTTCCTCATCTATCCTATTAAGGCATATAAGACTAGGTGATCTCTAAGGTTCTCTGAAGTTTTGACATCGCAGTCTGGGTTTCTCAGCTTGTAAACACTTGGTTAGTGGGTTGCTGCGGGGGGAGGAGAAAGGTGATTATTAATAATTGGGTGGATCTGTTTAGTGTTTCTGCACCTTCTTCATTGACATGATAGTGTTGGGCTAAAGCCCTGGACTGGGAGGTAGCAGCTTGGCGCTTGTTTTCCAGCTCTGCAAGTACCCAGCTGTATGTATGATCTTTGGACTAGTTCCTTACCATTTCTGGGCCTCTTTTTCTACCTGGACAAGGGAGGATGGGACCCAGTGATATCTGAAGTTTCCCTGACAGTGACCAAGCTTCTAGAGATATGACTGCTCACCCTTGGGGAGATGATCCTGGCCCTGGTCCCACCTCAGTCCTCTTTCCTTCCAAATCCATCCATTTAACCACCTTCCGCCGTCCCTCTGTCTCCCTGGAAGAGTCGCAAGTGCCTCAGACTCAAGTGCTCCAAACTCAGGTCCCATCTCCCTCTGGGGCCTTCTGTTCCCCTCTTTAGCTATTGTCTTTCCAGCCCTACAGCAGAACTCAGGGCTAGCTGAGACCCCTCCCTGCTTACCGCCAACCTGCCCCTCAGCGCAGCTCTGTCCTGTCTAGGCCTCCCACCATGGCCACTACTGCCTGGATTCACTCCTCCTCCTACCACAGGGAGGCAGTAACTCTACTCGTCTGCTGCCCTCCATAATCCCACCTCTGTTTGTATGTCTCCAATCTCAATATCTTTATAAACCCACAGCCTAAACACCAAGATCTGAGACCCTTCTTGGATTTCTCTGTCTTTATTATCCCTCAAATCAAATCCTGACAATTCAACCTCACATAAACATCTTTAAATCTCTTCTCTCCGTATCTGATACCACTGACTTGGTCCAACCCAATATCTCCACCAACCTGGACCACTGCAAACACCCCACGGACAATCTCCCTGCCTGCCCCCAAGCCTGCCTCATACAGACTCATGCATGCAGACTGGTCTTGCTAAAACACAAACCCAGTCATGCTCTCTCTGACCAAAACCCCCCGTTGTCCCAGGGCTCTGCTCCAGAACAAGGCTTGTCTGTGACATCTCTACCAGGAAGGTCGTCATTCCTCCTGGCTCCTGCATCCACACTGGGCTGCTTTCAGGTCAGACTTCATGACCTCTCTTCACCCTGGACCTTTGCACACACAGCTTCTCATCCCTAGAATGACATTTTCTATGCCCCTCCTGCCGTGTCTGCCTACAACTTAACTTGGGATGCAGCTCCATTTCCTTCCCCCTGGGAGACCTTCCCGACATCCCCCAGCTGGGTCAGGTGCCTTCACAGGGCTCCCTTAGCTCACACGGGGTCAGCACGCTGGTCCCATTGGATTGTATCTCTGGCAAGTCCAGGCACGCTGGAGACAGCACGATGCCTGAGCAGGGGCCTGCCTTTTATCTCTGCATCTCCAGAACCTGCCCACAGAGCTGGTGTCTTACATACAAATGCTTATACAAATTGCGTGTGTTAGGATGAGGGTGCAGAGGTGAATAGTTTTCTTCCCTCTTTCCACCCATGTTAGTGCCATCCCTCCTGGGCAGTGGAGATGGGAGGAGGCTGGAGGTGGGAGTGCAGGGTGGGGTGGGGAGAAGAGACTCACCAACAGGCATGAGAGCCATGACCAGCTTGGGATAGGCGATGTTGGAACATCCCACTCGGGCCCCACAGATTCTTTGGCAGATATCAGGGTCCACGCAGCCCACCTCATCTGCGGAAGAAGTGATGGCAGTTAGAGTTGATGATCTTGTGACTTTTCAGGTTGGCCTAGTATTTGCCTTCTAAAACTACAGGGAAATGTTCACTGGAGACTCTAGCAGGGACCCATGTCTGTGAGGTGAAGGGGCAAATGGTGTCTGCGTCTTTGGTAAATTTCTTGCCCGTATACTTTCTACCTGATTCACATTTTTTCTTTTCTTTTTTTTTTTTTTTTTTGAGACGGAGTTTCGCTCTTGTACCCAGGCTGGAGTGCAATGGCACAATCTCGGCTCACCGCAACCTCCATCTCCTGGGTTCAGGCAATTCTCCTGCCTCAGCCTCCTGAGTAGCTGGGATTACAGGCACATGCCACCATGCCCAGCTAATTTTTTGTATTTTTAGTAGAAACAGGGTTTCACCATGTTGACCAGGATGGTCTCGATCTCTTGACCTCGTGATTCACATTTTTTCTACTGAAATAATACGTTTGACCCACAAAGCCTAAACTGCTTTCTTTTGTTTTCTTTTCTGTTTTTTGAGATTGGGTCTTCAGCCCAGGCTGGAGTACAGCCGTGTGATCTGCAACCTCCGCCTCCCAGGTTCAAGCAATTCTCCCACTTCAGCCTCTTGAATAGCTGGGATTATAGGTGTGCACCACCATGCCCGGCTAATTTTTAGTAGAGACAAGGTTTCACCATGTTGGTCAGGTGGGTCTCAAACTCCTGACCTCATGATCTACCTCCCAAAGTGCTGGGATTTCAGGCGTGAGTCACCGCACCCAGCCTTCATTGCCTCCCCTCCCCTTCCCTCCCTTCCCTTCCCTCTTTCTTCTTTTTCTTTTCTTTTAATTCTTTTCTTTCTTTTTTGACAGGGTTTCTCTTGCTCTGTCTCCCAAATTGAAATGCAGTGGGGCAATTATATCTCACTGCAGCCTCAACGTCCTGGACTCAGGATGCTCAGCCTCCCAAGTAGCTGGGTCTATGGGTGCATGCCACCATGTCTGGCTATGTGTTCTTAAGAGACAAACCTTGCCGATCCCTGCTCTGGTCTAACATTTCCCAGGGCCACATTCCCATTCTCCAGACACTCTTTGAAAGCCTCGAATCCCAACACCCAGAGAGCAAGACTCACTCTTACCTGGGAACAGGGCCCGGCTGATCATGCCAGGCATGACAATGAAGAACATGGGGAGGATCTTCAGGTAGCCCCCCAGCACGGAGCCTCCCTTGGCATGGGACAGACTCTTGGCCGAGAGAGACCGCTGCACAATGACCTGAAAGGGCAGCAATGAGGAGGAGTCCAGCTAAAGTCGAGGAGGACCTTACTCAGCCACAGGTGAGCCCTGACACTGGGCACTGACTGTGTCTCTACCCAGTGCAGTCCCAGTCCCAGAATGAGGTCCAACCCTCTATGCATCCAGGCACTGGGTTTCTCTGCAGGAAGCCGCCCCACCTCCAGGCAGGCTAGGCCAAGCCTGCCTGGGGGATTACCTGATCTGTGCACCAACACCAGGTGGCCAGCACTGTGAGCCCAAAAATGAGGCCTGGCCAAGGGATGTCCCCGCTCACAGGGTCCCGCAGCATGTGGAAGGCATCGGGCCGTGGGAGGTGACAGGTGGTGTTGGGGACTGTGACATTAGGGATGGCCTGCCTGTACCGCTGCTCCAGGCCTGGGTACCAGCCCACATCCTGAAAGCCTGTGAGGAGACAGTGAGTAAAGCAGCCCTGAGATCCTACTGAGCCTGTCACTCAGCACACCCAGGCCCCAGCTTCATGTGGGCCCTCAGATTGGAACTGGTATGGGGACTGCGGGTGAAGAGGAAGATGGGGCTTGGGCTCAAGACCCCTGGTTTGAAGTAGCAAGAACCTTGCTCTTTGAGAACCCCAGCCTGGAGAGAAGATATGGCTCACATAGATCTATGTACCAGAAAGTTCCAATCAAGCTGTGGAGGTGACAGAGACAGGAAAGAGAGGAATTTAAGGATGAGGATGGGGTGTGTTTAGGTTTCGTTCTTACCCAGAAACATGAGGACCAGGGCTCCCCCCACCATGATCACCGTCTGCAGGGCATCTGTGTAGATCACGGCCGTGAGGCCCCCTGGAGACTCAAGGAGAGGGCTCATCAGTCAGCACCATTGCGGGTCCTCTCTGGCTGCCTGCCCTGTGCATGGCCACACTGGGGAGACCAGAGAAGACACAGAGCCCTCTTAGCGGCGGACTCTGGCCACCTGCCTTTCTCCACACCTAGTGCTCCCCTCTGTCCCTCCCTGGCAGGATGCCGACTGGTCACAGTCAAAGGTGCTGGGGTCCCTTCTGTCCTGACAGCAGCTGACTGTGGCCATCACACCACAGCTCTGCGTTATTATCTAATATCCCAAGTCCATTCCTTGGCTTCTAGTTCTGCCAGTAACACTCCCTGCTCCCTCCTCCCAGTGCTCATCTAAATGCCCCGTCTCTGGAGTCCCAACTTAACCCTAAGTAAGGCAGTCCTGTGCTGGCCTTCCAAAGTGCCCAGCCCTATGCGAGGAGATTTTGAGGAAACGGGAGGAGGTGGGTTGTGGTCTCTGCCTGGGGCAGCTTGCAGTGACTCTGGCTTGGGTCATGGTCCCCCTCTGGACCCCACTCCCTGGGCAGTCAGTCTTTTTTGGTATTTCTTAGTGTCTCTCCATCCCTGTCTCTGCTTGATTCTGTTCCTCCTCCCATGCCTGCCTTTTTCACCTCACCGTCTGCATCCATGTGTCTTTCATTCTGTCCCCGTGTTCTCTGCTGCGTCTCTGTCTCAGCTTCTCTTTGCCTGTGCCTCTCCTGTTTCTCCTTCTCTGTCAGCATCAGTTTGCTGTCTCTCTGCCCCTCTCTCTGGTTGTCCCTCCTTCAGTCTTTCTCCTGGGTCTCTGCCAGTCAAAACTTCCCTCTTGCCCTCTTACTGTCTCAGTCTCTGCAGCCCAGCATGACCTTCCCTCCGCCTACCTGTGATGGTATAGACGGCTGTCACCACCAGCAAGATCCCTGTGGAGAGGTACAGGTTCCAGCCCAAAGCCATCTGGATGAAGAGGGCTCCAGAGAAGATGTCAGTCTGAGGAGAGTCAGGAAAGAGGTCAGGCTACCCGAGGTCTTCAGAGTGGCTGCGTGGACATGTCACCTGCCTGCCCAGCAATGCCAGAGGCCCTCAGCCCTCATCACATGATGAAAATAAGCTTTAAGTACTGCGCTAAGGAGTGTGAGCTTTATCTTGCAGACATTGAGGTGCCATGGAGACTTTAAAGCAGGAAAGTACTGTATAAAGTGTCGAAACTGAGAGAAATTTAGTTGCGTGGCTGGTCTGCTAGACTTGAAGGGAGTGGTGGGGAATGAAGGGGAAGACTGAGAAAGTGAAGGAAGGAGCTGGGCTGGAGAAGAAGAGGCCATTAAGGAGAAGAGAGGAAGAACCAGAGAGCTGCTGGCCTCTCCCTGGCAGAGCAGAGCCTACCTGGCTCCTGGATGGCCCATGGCTGACCGATGTGGCAGGAGCCCTGGTGCAGATAAACATGAGTCCTGCGTCATCTACATACTTGGGTTTATTAGCAGACATGGGCGCATAGCCTGTGCCTAAGCTGACTTAGGGTCATTCTCAAACATTGGTGGAACGAGGGCCTTAAAGTGTTTTTCAGCCCTAGACCTGGCAATGAAGTGATTCAGTTCCCTTTAGTGTTTGCTTGTGGATTCACATCCACGATTGTTTTGTGAACCTATAACAGGCTCTGAAACATAACAGAGTGGAAGGAGACCTGGCCTGGGTCACGGAACCCAGACTTCAGCTTCAGTGCTAGAGCTAGCCCTCTGTGTGGACTTGGGCAAGTCATTTGACCTGTCTAGGTGATTTCCTGAGTTTAGGTCACTAGAGGAGGATTAAAGACCTGTCTGTCTCTAACCATCTAGGCAATTAATGCACAGTTGATGAATGAATAATCAATGAAAGGAAAAATAAGTGAATAAACTCTGGATTGTGAATTCTTTGAGTGTAGGGACTGTCATTCACTCCAAAAGTATTTATCATTCATCCTTGACTACCCCAGTGCTGAGGGGGAGCTCGCGGTAAAGGTTTACGGATCCTGCCTGCCTTTCTTCCAACTGTCATTGTCAGCTTCCCCTCAGCAAGACACTCATGATGATGCACTCAGCACCTCCCTAATCAGCATTTCCGGACACAATGGCCAGATTTCAGTGACACCCACCGAGATCTTGGTGAAGATGTAGAGGATGAGAGACAGGACAGACATGTACACCTGGATCCTCTGGCCCCCAAATCGCTTCTTCAGGTACTGGGGCATTGTGACCACACCCGCTGCGATGTACACAGGGACGAAGACCCAGCCGAGGGCCAGGAGCAGCCAGGTTGCCTGGGAGAGGGGAGGAGAAAAAGGTATCCAGGTCCTGGATGCAGACAGAGGGTCGGCTTCCCACCCAGAGGCAGCCCTGTGCTGTGGGAGGCCCCTAAGCAGAGAAATAAGGGGTCTGGGACCTGACATCAGTCCTTCTGTGTGACCTTGGATGGATCCCTCTGTCTCCTCCAGACCTTGATTTCCTCATCTGTAAAATGGGTTATTGATTCACCATGCAGCCTGCCAGGAATCTCTAAGGATCCTCTCAGCACTAATGCCAGAGATAGAGGTGGATTAGACCTTCATTATTCTGGAGAAACCAGGCCAGCTTTCTTACATTCCACTCGAAGCCACCCACAGCAAGGCCTCCAGCAGCTCCTGTCCCAGCCAGGCCGATGAACAAGCCACTGCCCACATTGCTGGACATCAGAGATGCTCCAATCTGCAAGGCACAGTTGGGTCAAGGGTCAGGAGTCAGGAGTGATCTGAATTAATCTGGAGTGAGGACCATGAGTGGTGAGGGGGCACGGAGCTGATGTTTATTGGGCACCCACTGTATGCCAGGCACTGCATTTATAAATACATTTAATTCCACAGCTATCCACGGGGAAGGGTATGAGTTTTTCCAGGTTACAGAGGAAGGAACTAATGTTAGGAAATTCGCTGGCTCCAGGTCACCCAGTGAGTAAATGGTGAAATGGGGAAAAAGGGCAAATGGGAAAGAAGCCTGGCAAGTGGAGAGTGCGGACCTCTGCACTGAGGCCGTGGGTCTGAGGGCCTCCAAGAGAAAGAAGCTGAAAAAGATAGGGAAGCCCCATAGGAAGGAAGGAAAGGCCCTCCTGCCACCCCAGTGCAAGCCTGGCAGAGGGAGGAGCCCAGGGGCTGAGCACAGGCCAGGCTGGCCTCTGAGCTGTTGGTTCTCCTCCAGGAAGGCAGCCAAGCACTTGGAGGCAGCAGAGACAGGAGGATAATGGGCATGATCAGGGCAGTCAGCGCCTGCGTAGCATCTCCAGGAACCAGCTGGTGTTCTGAGTATGGGGACTCATTTAACCCCTGCCACAACCCTTGGTGCTACTTTTATCCCCATCTTGCCCATGAGTGAACTGAAGCACAGATAGGTAACTTGCCCAGGTCTCAGAACGAGTAAGTGGTCAAATGAGGATTCAATCCCTGGCTGTCTGGCTCCAGTAACAAACACGGCACAGATGGTGCTTGGCATGTAATGAGCACGTGGTCAGTGCTACCTCTTGTTATTAGATGGGATCCCTGACTGGGAGGGGAGAAGTGGGAGAGGGGCTCCGGAGTCTGGGAGGAGGACTAAGGAGACCTCGGGGGGAGCGCTGGGGGCAGGTGGGGGTGGAGCCATGTTCCTTTCTACACCCTATGTCACCCCAATAAAATCACTTCCTCTATCAACACCTCAGCTCTTCACCTATACTATGTAGGACTCACTTCCACCCAACGTCCTGTTCTTCCGGAGGTGCCGTGAAAGTGAGAGGAAAGGAAAAGCACTGAGAAATTCAGACAAAGGCAGTAAGCCGTGTAAAGGCACGGAATGAGCAACAGGTCTGATGTTGCTGAGGCCCTGGTGCCAGCGCCTCTGACATGTGCACATGCACACTTACATGCGCGCACACACACAGGCACAGGACACACACACAGTCACACATCCACACTTACACGTGCACGCACACACAGGCACAGGACACAGTCACACATAACTCACATGTGCATCCACACAGGCACAGGACACGGTCACACATGCACACTCACATGTGTGCACACACACAGACATGGGATACAGTCACACATGCACACTCCCATGTGCACACACACGCACAGGACACACACGTACACTCACATGTGCGCACACACAGGTACAGGACACACACAGTTATGCATGCACACTCGTGCACACACAGGCACAGGACACACATGCACACTCACATGTGCACGACACACACAGGCACAGGACACACTCACACATGCATACTCACATGTGCATGCACACCCACACCCACAGGCACAGGACACACACACTGTCACATGCAGACTCACATGTGCACACACACAGGCACAGGACACTGTCACACATGCACACTCACATGTGCATACACAGGCACAGGACACACGCACACTCATGTGTGCACACACACGCACAGGGCACACACTGTCACACATGCACACACGTGCACACAAACAGGCACAGGACACACTCACACATGCACACACATGTGCATGCACACACATGTGCATGCACACACATGTGCATGCACACACATGTGCATGCACACATACAGGCACAGGGCACACACATGCATACTCACATGTGCATGCACACACAGGCACAGGACACACACACATGCACACTCACATGTGCACACACAGGCACAGGACACACACATGCACACTCACATGTGTGCACACACACAGGCACCGGGCACACACACCGTCGCACATGCACACTCACATGTGCACACACACAGGCACAGTACACACTGTCACACATGCACACTCACATGTGCATACACACAGGCACAAGATACACACTCATGCACACACTCATGCACTCACACACTTGCACAGTCACACACACACACCCACATGTACATGTTCTCATATGCTCTCACACAGGTATTAACACACATGTGCACATACACTCACAAAGCACACACACAAGCACACTCATGCACACACACAGTGCCCACATTCACACATGCATACACACTCACACATGGAAACAAATTCACACAGGCACTCACACGCACACTCACTCCTCCTCTCAGGTGGCCCTGGGGTGCTGGGGAGGCTTGGCTGGACCACGCAGCCAGAGTGGAGAACACCGGGCCCCCTGCTTCGGAGGAAGAAGCCTCCTCCAGGCAGTTCTTGGAGCAGTGAGGCACCTCCACCCCCACCCAGGGTTTTTAACTTAACTTTCCTGCTCCTACCCAGGACAGATCAACAAGATCAGCGGGGGAAGCACGGGGAGGACCATGCGGGCCTCTCTGGAACACAAAGGGCTGCTGCATCTTGTGCTCTTCATGGGGCACAGACTCGGGACAGGGCAGACACCCAGACATACACTCCAGCAGTGCTGGTGGGATTCAGCTTTCCACACCCAGAGCTGGTTCTCACCCTGGCCTCAGGCTGGACCCAGCTCTCAGGTGCAGGAGGCACAGCTCACAGCCGGCCCACCAGAGGATAGGCAGCACATCCTCTCTTTCCCACTGCGTGTCTGCTCTGTGTTTGGGGCACAGTGGGAACCTAGAAGTGCCTGCCAAGGCCTCCCTCTTGTTCAGAGGCCTCGGGTTCCTCAGGCTAATCATTGGGCAAGAGCTCGGCTCTCTGCGGGTTGCCGAGGCAGTCAGCAGGGCCCCTGGGCTGCTCCTGAAGTGATCAGAGCAACCTGCTCTGTCCTGCTTTTTCTGTCCTCGCTTCCCTCGTTTCCAGAGTTGCGATTTGGGAGACATTGGCTGAAATGAACCATTGAGAAGAGTTTTTCCTTTTTCCTGATGAGAAGGTGGCTCGTAGTGAGTGCCAGTGACCCCACCACTGTTCCTGGGCTGCCAGGCCCCAGCTCCCCGCCATCCCTGGGATTCGGTCACGGTGGACAGACAAGAGCTGCCTGCCCCTACTTCTTCCTGTCCCAGATACCTAAACCTTCCAGAGAGCCCTGGAGGCCTCCTGGGTTTCTGCTGCTCTTTAACGAGTCTGTGACCAGTACAGAGTGGGGAAGGTGGTGAGAATGAGAAGGGTGCGGAAAGGCATGAAGACGGCTGGGGCTGTGAGTGTGCATGAGTGTGTGAGTCTGAGTGTGTGCGTGTAAGTGTGTAAATGAGCATATGTGTGTCTGTGATTGTGACAGTTCATATGAGAAAGAGAGTGTGTGAGTGCGTGAGAGAAGGTGTCAGTGTGAGGCTGGGAGTGTCTTTGTGTGCATGAGTTTGCAAGTATATATGAGTATGGTCGTGGATGAATGTGTGTGTGTGCCTTTGCATGTGGGTGTGAGAGTGTGGTGCATGAGTGTGTGTGAGTGTGTGAGAGTATGGAAGTGTGCATGCACACATGTTATATGTGTGAGTTTTAAATGCCTGGGTGTGTATACTGCTTCAGCTACCACTGGGGCTGATGGTTCTACTGACAATTTTTGAGACAGGGGTTTCCTCCCTTCTTCCTATTCCCGGAAGAGAAAGTTAAATTTGAGGACCAATAGAACTGTGGTGTGGCTTGATGGGAGAAATTGTGGCTCACAAAGGTTTGGAGATGGATTCCTTGAGGTTGTTGGGGATTTTACCTCTGTGACTCCCCTCACTTAACTGCTCTTCAGTATTAAGCTTATCTGATACGTTCTCCCCAAAATCCCTCCTAAGCTGGCTGCACTGTCTGGTGGCCAGGGGCTTCCTCCAAGCTCTGGCCAGTGCCCCCTGCTTCCCTCTGGCTCAGCAGTGCACATGATGTTTATGAGTCTATCAGCTCCACTCAGATCTGAGCTTCTCTAGCATAGGGACATTCCAGATTCATCACTGCAAGTCAAGTGCCAGATGTAGGGCCACGCCTAGGAGGGCCAGGGGATGTTTGTCCAACGTGTGTCCTAGCAAAGCCACTCAGGTTGCAGGGTGGGTTTGGGCAGGAGAGAAGGGGCCTGGAGTTAGGAAAAAATGGGGAGGTCTTTGCCATGGTCCAGGTGTGAGAAGATGGGACAAGGGCTTGGATGGTGGAAAGGAGGAGAGTTGGGAGCCTCTGTGCTAGGGGTGGTTGAAAAGGGTCAACTCACTGGCCACCAGCTCATGGACCTCCCGGCCAGGAAATAGCCACCAATGGTCCCTCGGCTTGCACGGATGGACGACTGGAAAAGAAATAGATGAGATGAAGATTTCTCAAGTTTCTCTCCAACCTCTGCCCTGCCCTCACCCCGCAGATTCCCTGCCCCTTGGTGAAGGAGCTGTGGAGACAGAGGGTGGAAACTGAAGCAGAAGAGAGCTGCCTGAGGCTGGTTTCACAGTTTCTAAGCTATGTGTCTTGCGAGAGTCACTTCCTCTGTGAGCCTCGTCATTCATCTCCAGGGCCAGCGCAAAGAGCAAAGGAGGTAAGGGATGTTATGTGTGAGAGGTCATTGTGCACTCTTATCCCCTTATGCTTCCCTCCCGAAAGTGCGCTTTTGGAGGGTGATTTAGTGTCTCCTCCTTAGGTGTGTCGAGCTCACCTTTTCTCTGAACTGACTCCCTCCCTACTCCCAGCCGGGCTCCCACACTGGAGGCAGGAGGACAGAAAGGGCTACAGTTTGACTGTGAGACTTTGAGCCCTGAACGGAGTTGCGGGCACTGTTTTGGGATTTCCCTTGACCTGGTCTGAGGTCAGACCATGCCACTGAGTCCCATCCAGGACCTCCCTGTCTTGCATCAGTAGGTGGTCAGTTAGTAGCCTGTTGGAATGTTCTCTGGAGACAAGGGGTGAGGGGAGGACAGTGGGTAGCGAAGGATAAACTGGAAGCAGCTATTCAGATGCAAAAGCCAATAGTTCTCTGACTTTCCCTAAGGGAAGGTAATCAGTCACCAGGGAGTGATAAACGTGTGTGGGGCCTTGTGCTTGTTAAGTTTTTGCTTGTATTGCCCTTGTCACCTCTGATCCTCTTAGAGGCCATATGAGAAAAACAGATTCATTTTACAGAGGAGAAAACGGAGGCCCAACATGGAAAGCAATTTGTCCAAAGTCACCAAGCAGCTGGTGGTTTTCTCAGCTGGCCAGGAGCCAGCGATCATCTGTCAGCCCGATTCTTCCTCACACCAGCACTAGGAGGCCGGGACTGTTCACTCCCCTTTACAAATGAGGAAACTGAGGCCCAGAAGAGGGTTTCTGACCTGGCCACAGCCTAGGAAGTGACCAGCTGGGACTTGAATCATGGCAGAGTCTAAAGGTGCTCGCACTGCTGCAGAACGCCGTGGTGATAACAGCAGCCATTTATTGCCTGCCAATCGGGCACCAGGCAGCGTGCCAGGTGCTGCTGTGTGTCCTGTTGTTGAGTGATCACAGCTTAGTTCTTACTCTCATTGTCTGCCTGAGAAAGTTGAGGCTCAGAGAGGCCTCCTATGTGGTTCCCAGGGCCATGAGGCTCTCATTGTTGCAGCTGGGACCTGAACTCAGGTTTCCCTGACTCCAAAGCTTGGCCCCTGCCTATAGCATTGAGGCTCCTGGGAACAAAGGAGAACAGAGGGACCTTGAAATCAGCCTGGCATGTTTCACTGAGAGCACATGAGCCCTTCTTAAGAAATCACCTTAGCCAAGATGCTAACAAATGCAGAACTGAGGTAGGGCCAGGGGTCAAGAGTTCTCAGAGTTGGGGGTCTTGGGGTGGGGCAGAAGGAAGGAGTAAGCCTCAGGGCAACCAGGGATGGTTGTGGCCAAAGACAGCAGGTGCACAGAGAGGAGTCAGGAATCAGGGGCCTGGTCTGCCTCTGGCTGTCTGTCTGTGTGACCTCAGCCCAGTGACATCCTTCTCTGTCCTTCTAAACAGATCAGGAAGCTGATTCCTGAAAGCCCTTCCATTTCAGCCCCATGGTTCCATGATCTGCTTCCTTCTGCCTAGCCCTGCCCTAGCTCCACGGCCCCACCCAAGCTGAGAGACTGCTTCTACCTCCCCTGCCAGCTCCAGCGTCAGGGCCTACTTACCCAGATCCCCACGGCAATGACGAAGACGAAGTAGATGACCACCACGATGATGTCATAGGTGTGCAGACCAACTCTGGGATCCAGTGCTGAGTGTGGAGCTGTCTCAGTCCTGACCCCATTCCCTAAAGCTCCAGGCCCCATTGCTGCCAGCTCCTTGCTCATCTGTTAGTGTTAGTCACCAGTGAGCTGGACTTTGAGGTGATCCTGGCTTCACTCCTTTCTTTTAATGATTAAACTGCCCCAAGAACCATTAGTTGGTGAGAAAACTCAGCCTGCTGGCACATACAGTCCTGCCTCCTTTTTTCCCAACTGCCATCCCCAGCCCCTGCAGGACTCTTTCCTTCCCCTTCCCTGCTGCCACTATGTGCACACACATACATGCATGTGTACACACGTGCACATGCATACCAATCTCCCTACCCCCAGAGGAGCTGAAGGAGAGACTAGGAAGAGGAGGAGGAGAAGGAGGAGAAAAGGAGCAAAATATTGGAACACCAGAGCTGGGAAGGTCTTCAGAAATCAAAGTGTTCAAACTCCGGTGTGGTGGGGAAAACAAGACCCAGTGAGGTAAAAATGGAGCTGGGACTAGAGTCCAATTTTCTTAATAGTTCAATACAATTCTCTTTTACCTAGTGGGAGGGAAACAAAGGGAAGAAGGAGAGGAGTCTACTATTACCCTAGCAAAGCAGCCACCGCCTCATGCACTCCCACTCCAACCCACCGAGATGTTGGGTTCTCCTTCGATACAGTGTAGGAAACTGAGGCTTGGGAAGAGACCATGGTTTATTCCAAGGAACTAAGCAGGGCCATCTCCAAAAAGGCAGAGCCAGAATCCACACTTTCTGATGCCTGACCCATTCTGTACTGTGACAGATGAAATGGTTGGGGTCAGGAGGCCTTCCCTGAAAAGGATACAGTGCAGGGAAGACCATCTCTGGGATTCAGGCAGCCGAGATTCCCAGTCCCAGTTCCACCTCTCACTGAACTACAGATGCCCTTGGGCAGGTTGCTAAATGTCTCTGGGCTGGGTGTCCTCATTAGTGTGACCTGTGCCCTGCCTGCCTCACAACACCAATGAGGCTAAGATGTGCTCCTGAGAAGCTCTGCAAACCCTGAGTTACTGAATGTTCTTGGGGTTAACACGGAGAAACCGACATTGACCACCGTCTAGCCAAGCGGCCCAGATGCCACGCACATAGATGTCTGCTTACATGGTCTTTCCAAAGTAGCTGCATTTGGAATCTTTCAGTCTTACAAATATTAACCTGCTTGCATCTGCTGTAAGGCCCAGACTGGAGTAGCAGGAAAACTCACAGGCCCTGTCCCACACCCTATCCCCAGCATCCCATAATGATCCCAAGTCTGGTTGCGAGGACCAGACTTTCTTTTTCCCCCTTTTGGTGGAAAGGAAATGAGAGGCAGGGTTCTAGGCCTTCTCTCCCCAGTTCTCCTATCCCAGAATATCAGGCACAGGCCACGCTGAGCCCTAAGGAGAGGGGCGGTGATCTGGGAGAGAGGTCGAGGTAGTTCCTGGCTGGGTCAGGGCTCCATGGGATCTGGCACCCATTAGGATTAGATACCAGAAGAAGAGTCCTTCATATACACATTGAGGCAAGGTTATCAGAGAAACAGGGATGCAGGAGGGGCAGCATTAGAAACATCAGGACGATGTGAAGGACCAGGTGCCCGGCAGTCCCTGGGGCTGAGCTGGATACAGGGGGAAATGAGGCTGGCAGATCTCTGGGTGTTAATCAGGGAACAGGGAAGGAGTGGTCTGAGCTTAGGCCCCTGTGTGCACCACAGTGAGTGCTGTAGATCCCGATGACTCTTGCAGAGAAGGGAAGAAGAGCGTTGCAGGGAGAGGACAGCTGAATCTTGTGCTTCTTCCCGTGCTCCCCACAGGGAACCCCCTCACCCAGCCCTTGGGGTTTGCTATAGTTTGGATACTTGTGTTGCCTCCAAAATTCATGTTGAAACTGAATTCCCATTCAACAGTACTAAGAGATAACGGCCTTTAGGAGTCACTAGGCTGTGAGGGCTCCTCCCTCGTGGATGGGATCAGTACCTTACAAAAGGGAGAAAGGAACTAGCCAGACCCTTTTGCCTTTTTGCCTTCTGCCATGTGAGGACACAGCCACAAGGTGCCATCTTAGAGGCATAAACTGGGCCCTCACCAGACACTGAACCTGCTGGGGCTTTGTTCCTGGACTTCCAGCCTCCAGAACTGTGAGCAATAAATTCCCGTGGTTTACAAATTACCTGGTCTTAGGCGTTTTGCTGTAGCAGTAGGGATGGGCCAGGACAGTGCTCTGTTGCCCACACACTATCCCCATCCACCTTACAGATGCCAGAGACTGACCCCCAATCCGTACACGCTTACCTAACCCAAAAGTAGCGGGTTCGAGTTCATAGTAGCCTCTCCTCAAATGTATCTAAGACTTACCTGTAAGCTAACCAGGCACATTAGCAGCCCAGAGACCAACAGAGCACCAGGAAGTGAGCAAAATAAAGGCTTTAAAACAGCCAGAATAGACATTCTAAAGCCCATGGACAAAACCTAAATCAGTGAGCCTTATCAGTGAGCCTTATGACCTCACTCAGAGCCTGTTTATTTTTGTTTTACCAGGGCTTTGTTGTTCATATTCCAACTCACAACAAATTAGAAGAGAGGGGCAAGGTTACATAGAGACAGCAAGGAGGATGGCAGCTGAGGGGCTGATGGTGCATGAGAGGGCATTGAAACTCGAAAGACCAGGAAAGACAATGTTAAAGGCAACAAAATCGGGGCAAGCAGACCTCTAAAACTGGATAGATCAACTCTTAACAAATGGCATTCTTGAGTAGCAGCCAAGATTCACACGCATGTGTATGACCCAGAGTCATCAAGCAAAGATGTCTGTAGCCATTAGTTTTCTATTTAGAAGGCATGGAGTATGAAACCCAGGCAGGAAGAGTTTCATGTGAAATGGTCAAACATTTTAGGCAAGTGTTGACATTCAAGGCTGAGACCCCAGTTATCCAGAATATTCTCTCAGAGAACTTCCCAGCGTGAAGGGTGTCCTCGTGCTGTCAGTCCCACGCAAAGTGAGGCCGGTCTTACCCCGGCCCTGTGCAGGGAGCACACGTCTTTAGTGGTTCATGCCTTGTGGGGAAGACAGACTGTCACAAGACAGGTGCCTT